TGTTAAACATAAAAGGATAAAACTTTGGAAGAAAACTTCGGAGAAAAATTCTTGTGGCCATGTTTCAGGCAAAGAGGTTTTAGTTATGACACCAAAAGCACAATCCAAAGAAAGAATGATGATGGGAATTCATCAGAATTTAAAATATCTGCTCTTTAAAAGACACCGTTAAGAGAACTAAAAAACAAGGCACAGACTGGAAGGAAATAGCTACAAGTTGCGTCTCTGAAAAGGACTGACAACCGGTCTGTATAAAGCGCTCTAAGAAGTTAACAGTAAGAGAACAGCCAACCCAGTTTTAGTGGGCAGAAGAGCTGAACAGAGACTTCACCAAAGAAGACACAAAAGTGACAAATAAGCCCATGAAAAGATGTTCAGTATCATCAGTTACCAGGGAAACGAAAATTCAGACTAATAAGATAGCACTGCACACCTATTAGAATGACTACAAAAGGAGAATGGCCATACCAGGTGCCGGCCAGGATGAGGAGAAACTGAAAGTCTCAGACACTGCTGGTGACATAACATGATACGCCGCCTTGGAAAACAGCTTGGCAGCATCTTTAAAAATGAATTATGCATCTACCATACAATCCAGACATCCCACTCTTAGGAATTTACCCAAGGGAATTTAAATCTTATATCCATACAAAGACTCACATATAAATATTTATAGTAATTTTTACTTATAACAGCCCCAAAATGAAACAAGCCAAATGTCCACCAACAAGTGAACGTATAAACAGACTGGGACACAGCTTTTGTAAAGGGCCACGTGGAAACCTTGGGGATTCTGGCTACGTTCACCACCTTGATGGTGCTGTTGGCTTCACAGGCGTGAGCCTACGTCGAAACTTACTAAATTCTGCATGTTAAATATGCATAATGTTAAACTTCAGTACACATCAACAGACCCTTTAAAAAACACTCAGTGAATTAAGAAAATTAGTAAAAATTTAAAGACAGAACTAAACAAAGTATCTAGATTATCACAGAGAAAGACAAATTTGTTGAAAGCAGAGGTTACTGGACATGAAAGCAAGAGAAATTCTCAGATACGTTGTTTCCATGTTCCAGAAACAGAGGACAGAGACTGGGATAGAGGCAGCATTTGAAGAGTGATGTGGAGAATTTTCTAGGTAGACATCAATCCAGAAATTATAAAAGCCCAGTGGATCCCCACTGGAAAAAATAAAAGTTGCATGTACCTGTATGCGTCAAAGGAAACATATGGAACACCAAAGATTAAAAGAAGATCTTAAAAGCAGCCAGAGATAAGAGACCTTCAGAAGACAGATGGGTGGACGAACAGCTGACTTCTCACCACAGAATGGCAGCCGAACGATGAGGCAGAAATGGCTTGGAAGTGCTGAGAGGAAGTAACTGTCAACCTAAGATGGTACACCCAGCAAAAAATATTTTTCAACAAGGATGAAATAAATGCATTTCCAGATTAATAAAAACTGAGATTTCTCTTCTTTAAATGGAATTCAAAAGGGTGCGCTTCAGAAAGAAGAAAACCACCTCAGAAGGAAGATCTGATACGCCGAAAGGAATGAAGAGGCAGGGTATTTGCGATTCTGTGGGTAAAGAAAAATGAGCGGGCTTGAAAAGACAACAGACTTGGGGAAATGTCTGTGGTCTATACAACAGGCAAGGGATTGTGCAAGTCTGGGAGACATACGGAACCCTGCAAGTTCTGATGGGCAAAACATGAAAACTCTGCTCAGAAGAGACAGTAGTGAGAACACAGGAGCAGGGCAAACTCCCACGGCCGGAGGAACCTGAAGTGACACACCCACTCCAGGGAGTGACTTGGTAATAACTTGTAAAGTTGAAAATGAGATGATCTCCTAACCCAGTAATTCCACCTTTAGGTGTATTTCTTAGAAAACCTCTTATGTTGGCGTAAGGAGGCACATAGAAACACGTTCATTGCAAAATTGGCAAAAAAAGTGGAACCAATTTAAATGTCCCTAAATGGGGGGGTGGAAAATAAAACGTGTCATTCTCATTGAATGGAACACTCTACAGCAGTTACTACAAATGAACTGGATCTGTGTGTGACTAGAGCTTCAAAAACACAATATCGAGTTTAAAAATCAAACTGAAGGGGGATAAATGCAGTGTGACATTTACATATATATTTTAAAGACACAAACTAATCCTATGCATTAGTGGATACATTAATTTGTACGATATGAACACATGGATGGAAACCATTTGTGTGCCAAACATATAAAACTACATAATTACCTTTTTGTTTTATTTTGTTTTGCATTATATACATATACAATGTGAATATTATATATATATATATATATATATATAAAATATATGAAGTAATGTTTTGTTTTTTTTAAGGCTCAGAAGCAAATATGATAAAATATTAACATCTGTTAATTCTGGACCATTACCCAGAAATCTGTTACAGATTTTTTAAACTTTCTTGTATTTTTTTAAGAGTGTATTTTTTAAATTGAAGTGTACTTGATTTACAAGGCTGTGTTAGTTTCGGGTATCCAGCAAAGTGATTCAGATACATACATATCCACATACACACACATATTCTTTTTCAGATTTCTTCTCCATTATAGGTAAACTTTCCTGTGTTTTTAAATTTGTTTTCAAAAAAGGAGAAGGGAACAGATACTCTGATGCATGAATTTTACCCTTTTCTGTGAGCTAAGGCCCAGAGGGGAATCTGTTTTACAGTATTTCATTTTCTGTAGCACATTAAGACAACTGAAGTGAAAATGGGAAAGTGAACTTAAAAATAGGCTTCTTTCCTGAGGAGAGAACACACGGGTTGGCAGGCAATAGATAGGTTTGCTTGCACACACACACACACACAGGAGCGGGCAGATGGATGTATACATCAATACACGTCACGTATGCAGTCACGCACACAGGGTGGGTGTTTGACCCCTGGGTGGTGGCAGGTTTGCAGAGCATCCTGCAGAGATGTCTCCAGGCCTCTTGGAGCACCAGCCTGGGACCATCAGCTTTGTTTGGGAACGTTTCCCAGACAGCCTCCACGTATGGACACCTGGCACCTCGCAGGTGCACGATGACTGTTTCTTTCAACAGTCAAGTTCAAGTGCTGGGAAGGAAGGAGCTGTAAATGACCACCCCCTCCCACCCAGCTATTCTCCTCCTGACACCTCCGGGACCCTGACTGAAGCCTAGAGATGTTGGCGTGGCAGGTGTCACTTCCTCCACGTCAGTCTTGTGTGAGAGGCAGCGTGGGAGCAAAGCCATGTGGGAAGCCCTGTGCTCCCAGAGCTGTAAGGGCAGCTGCCCTTTGGTCTGGCTGGAATTCATGCCCCTGCTGTGAGAACTGCACCCAAGTCTCCCTGAGGGGCCATCCCTGCCCACTCCGCACGGTCTGGGTCAGAGCTGCGTGCCCCTGTTACACAGGCAGTTGTCCTTCTTTGGTTCAGGCTACTTAAAGTTGGGCTGGTGCTACAAGAGCCTTGAATAATCCGTGAACTAAAGCACAGGCTGAAAAAATGCTGGGTGTTGGAAAGGACAGGATGCGGTTTGGGGCAGCGTAAAGGGTCGCTCTCCAAGCATGTTGCCAGGACCAACATCCTCAGCATCTCCAGGGAGCAAGTTAGAGACACAGAATCTCAGGCCCTGTCCCAGACCTACTGAATTTGACCCAGCATCGCAAGAAAACTCCAGGAAAAAACCCTAAGCAACTCTGGTGTCTGTTATGTGCTAGGAGCCGCTGTGTGGCACATGGGCCCTGAAGTAAGACTCGCTGGTTCAGATCTGGGTCCCCGACCTCTCTGTGTCTCAGTTTCCTCATGAGGGAAACAAGGAGCCCTTGGACAGTGCCTGGCACACAGCAAGCCTCAGCGATGCCAGTCTGAACATGGGGTCCCTGGCAGAAACGGGGGCAGGGACCTCGTCAGAGGGCCTGCTGTCTCCAGCCACTGAGGGTCTGAGCAGCTGCTGGCGAGCACTAGGAATCTGTGTGTCCTCTGGAAGAGCACGTAGGCTTTGCACCAAATACTGACCACAAAGGGAGAAGGCTGAGCATTCTAGACAGGGGAGAGTGTTGGGGGCCAAACTGTAGAGTGGGGACACAGGAGTGCCTCGGGGATCTGGGTTCAGAGTGTCAAATAGGACATGGGTGAGGGCTGGTACTGCGCAGGGGGATGGGCAGCCATGGGAAAACGGGACTGAAAAGGCTCTCTGAGAGGGGGTGGGGGGCTGATTAAAGAACTTGCTTCTTGGGGAGGGTCCAGCTCAGTGGCAGAGCGCATGCTTAGCGTGCACAAGGCCCTGGGTCCAGTCCCAGCACCTCTTCCACAACAAGTAAACCTACCTACCTCCCCTCAAAAAAAAAAAACAGCAGATAAGAATTTGCTTTTTAGCTTGTGTGCAACAGGCAACCTGAATGATTTTGAGCAAAGGAACAAGACAGTCAATGACACGACGACAGAGTGGTATTAAAATCCATCTGTCCCCCAATTTGCGGTCGGTAGATTATGTTACGTGCACAGACCACAGAGAAAAGTCTGGAAGGGCATCCACCTAAACGTTACCGGTGATCGTCTCCGCGTGGGGATGTTTTACTGTCTTCTTCCTGCTCAGCTGTATTTTCTAATTTTTCTGCAAAGGACATGCCTCGCTTGCATAATTAAAAAAGCAATAAAAGCTGTAAATAATTAACACGCTCTCTCTTCAGGGCTTACAACTGGATGGCTGCGTTTTTCAACTCAGTCGTTCCAAATATTTGCTGGATTCCTGGCCTTAAAAAAAAAAGGCCCCATTGAAACACACACAGCCAGTGGTGCTGTGCGGGCTGGACGGGTGGGGAGGTAAACTGAGTCCTGGCCCCCAGATCCCAGACAGTACCCTCTCCCAAGCACAGGGATGCCCTTTGAATCCCTTGTGAAGTTTATCCTCGAGGTTTACTGGAATCACAGCTCGTGGTTCCTAAGGCTGTGGGCGCACGTGGAAGTGACTGTGGCGGCGGCGCGCCCTACCTTTTGGAGACGATGCTCAGGGTTCTCTGCCTGCTGCTCCCACGAAGTGTCTTCGCCCTCCTGCGAGGCAGTGCTTTCTTCCATCTTGGCTCGGACACCCGGTCCTGGGATGTCACCGCGGGGACTGCTGGGTCGGAGAGCTGAAAATACCAGGCCTGCTGGCATCATGCTGCTCACAGCCCTCGTGGTGGGAACAACACAGAAGGGGTCTCTCTGCAGACAGGACGCCCATCTGGGGAAACCAGGCATGGGAATGCCGCACTGCCAAATGGGCTGAGCGTTCCTGGCTGGAAACTTCTGGAACCCTGCCTGTGCTGGATGCACAGACCTTTGGAGATGGCTAGAGACCTAGGGCACACTGTGGCCGGCTCCTTCCCCTCCCCCAACTCTGTCTCCCCAGGAACCCCCCCCCGCCCAACGCCTGACTGCCTTTTGGGGGAAGGAGGGCTATGCTGGGCCTTGGTCCCCCCTCTCTCAGGCCCAGTACAATCCTTACTAATCCACCACTACTGGGGGACCCAGAGTTATTCTGGACACAGTTTCATTTCACTTTTTGCCTCTGTTACCAGGAAGCACAGAGTGAAGTTTTATGTCTCGTTATGAAAAACATCTTTTTATGAAAAATATCTCACCCAGAGGCTCGGGTACAATAATTCTTTCCTTTGAAACTTCTTTTTTCAGGGTTTTCTTTTGTTTCATTTTACATTTTTAGCCATTATTCTTCTCTGCCCTGTACGTGGTAGCCCCAAACACCACGGGCGGAGAAGACGTTATAATGGACAACAGATGCTGCAAGGGACGTCTTCCTACTTTCTCTCCATCATTGTAAGTCCTGCCCGCTAAGCGCTCTCCCTCAGCCCCCAGGGCCCTGGTGCGGAGCTGGATGTTACCTTCAACATCTGCGTCTGCCCTCCTCTTCCGGGCCTGGTCCTGGGCCATCCTCCAGACACAGCCTTGCTCACCGGCCGGGCGTCCGGACCCTCCTCTGGGGGGCTGTCACCAGGGAAGTGCAGCGCCAGGTACACGGAAGCATCCTTCTCCTTCTGCTCCATAGGCAGAGGGAGGCTGCGGCTTAAGCAACACCACGTGAGCCGGGGTTCGGCCCTCAATGAGGGGAAAGGGCCCTGGGCCCCGCTGAGCCCCAGAGTCTCTGCCTGGGCACCCACGGCCAGCTGAGGCCGGCGTGGGGCCGAGAGGGCTGAGAGGAAGGAGCTGGGCTGGCGGGAGCAGCATGGACTGAGCCCTGCTGGCCGCTCTGGAGAAGAAGGACTTTCTTCTGCCGAGACACTCTCAGGAGGACCCCTCAACTCCTTGTTGGGTTCCCAGGGGCTCAGGATGCCCCCAGAGGGGCAGGCTCTTGCCGCAGTGCTGCTCCCGCAGAGTGCTTGGGTGTCGTGGGTCTCACTCCCTCGGGAGTCACACACTGGGGTGGGCAGGAAGGAGGCCGCCCTCCTGGGGGCCCCGGCTGCTGGGAGGCCAGTGTCCAGGCCCCCTTTCTCCTCTCCCAGCACCCGCTTTCTCCTGTCCCGTGGCCCGGACCAGCTGGGGTCCTCCCAGAAGCTGTCTGCTCCACCTGGGACCTGGCTTAAAGCTGGGCAGGGAGGCAAGAGGGCCCCCAGCCCTGATCCGACAAAGGATGCCCGTTCCTCCAGGTACCCGCTCCTGCAGAGAGGGTCTGGGCCCTGGTCTGGCTTCTGGGTGATGGGAGGTGGGGGGTGGGTCTCTCCCTGGGGTAATCTGAGGAGGTACTGAGGAAGAAAAGAGGTATCCACTGGAGCAGTGAGGATGCTGGGAGTCCGAGGCTGCATGGCTGCCGGGGAGGGACCCCTGGGGGCTGTAGGACACAGCAGAGAATCCTTGTTCTGTGGCCCCACGTGCCTTAGGGCCCCAGAAGCAACTTCAGGGGAGGCGCTGGAAGCTTCCCCAGGCTCGCCCTGTCGCCCAGCCCTAACCCTCACTGTGCAGTCACCACTTCCAGGCAGCTCTCCTGGCTTCTCCCTGGGATCATTGTCCTGGTTCTGAGCAGGTGGGGAGGTGGGTTGCACAGGACCCCCAGGGGTCTCTCCTCCTGCTCTCAGGGGCTCCTGGCAGCTTAGCTCCTCCACCTTCAGCTTCTTCCTCTCCGAGGGGAGCTTGTCCTCTGTGGGCTGGGGCTCCCCAGAGCTATCGCCGGGCCATCTCGGGACAACGTGAGCCCGCTGACAGGTCTCCTTTGGGCCACTACTACCGTGGGTGCTGCCTTCCAGCTTGGGGTCTGGCAAACCTGGCCTGGAAGCCTCTAGCTCACCTCCTTGTGGGGGACCAAGCTCTGGGGCCAGCTGAGACCCCAGCTCCAGCCCCCTATTTGGAGGAAGCAGAGGGCTCTTGTCGCCCAGACAGGGGGGTTCCCTGCAGCTGAGGGCGTTCACCCCTGGCTGGTCACTGCCTCCCCCTCTGGCCACTGTCTCCCTCTGCTTTGGGGGCTGGGTCACCAAGAAGCCCTCCAGGGCTGGCGGACTTGCCGAAGGTGCTGGCTTGGCCCCCAAAGACGTGTCCCCTGGGACAGGGGTCCTCCTTGCATCCTGGGATGGGGCTGCACCCTTGCTCCCTGCTGCCTCTTCTTGCAGAGGGCGGTCCAGCTCAGCCCCACTGGCCCCTGTCACCTCCCTTGCCTGCTTGCCTCCTTGGTGGCTGCCTTTCATTTTCTGGTAGATTCTCTTGAAAGTCTCGTTCCCGTACACCTGCCACTTCTCCTGGGAGAACATCTTCAGCTTCCTCGGGCTCCGCTTCCTTGCCGCGCCCTGGCCCTTGCTGGCCGCCCCCTCCCCGGCAGCAGTCTTCCCATCCGGGTCCTCTGGGGGGGTCGGCATCTCTCCGGTCGGGGGACCCGGCAAGTCCTCCACCGCAGCCTGTCTGACCAGGGCCCTGGGGTGACCGCTGGGGACATCGGCCGGGCGGGCGGGGGCGGGCCGGGCGCTCAGAGGTTTCTG